GGATTTTTCCTGCTGGCTATATCTAGGTATAGTGTAGCTAGCATGGGCTCCATGATTAACTGTCACATGACAATCTTCATTTACACACACCCTCTTATCTTCCATCGCACCTGCTGAACCAACACTTAACCCTATATTACCCCCACCATCCAACTTATCTTACTCCATTGTCCAGTCCAGAGCACTGCAAGAGAAGACCTGAGAGTCATGCTAGACCGAACCAATAACAAGTCAAGATAAGCCTCAATGTTCAAAATCCACGGTATACAGAAGAAAGAGAATGGGGTGAAGAATTAGACCTGGATTTGAGAATTGGGTATAATGTGCACTGCCTCGTGTCTTTGGCTGAGTCAGCAACCTTCCTGAGCCTGTTTTCTCATCTGTATAATGGGGGTAGTGTACCTACTTCATACCACGAGGATTATATTTTAAATGAAATAATGTATGTGAAAGCTCCCAAATTTCTAGGCATGTAGAAGTTGCTTGATAAGTGTCAGCTCCTTCTCTTCCTTTAATGTATCTCACTAACCTCTTTGAAGATGACTAGCTCCTACTTAGCAAGAAAATCCATGCTCTCTGCTATGAATCTTAATTTTCCTCTCTTCCCTCCTTTCCATATAGAATTCTATGTCTTCACTCTATTTTCTTGATTCAGAAGTAGTATCCCTCTTCTTTTCTAAAACTAGCTCTCTATCCATGCAAATAGTTTTTACCCTGGCTGCACATTAGAATCATCTGGGGACAGGCACCTGGGTGGCTCAGTCGTTAAGCTTCTGCCTTTGGCTCCCGTCATGATCCCAGGGTCCTAGGATCAAGTCCCACATTGGGCTCCCTGCTGCTTCTCCCTCTCCCACTCCCCCTGCTTGTGTTCCCTCTCTCACTGTGTCTCTCTCCGTCAAATAAATAAATAAAATCTTTAAAAAAATTCATCTGGGGAGCTTTTAAAAAAATGCAGATGTCTGGGCCCCACCACAGACCAATTAAATATGACTCTCTGGAGGCAGGAGCATGGTATCAGTATTTTTTTTAAGTTCCCTGGTAGGGTGCCAAGACAATTCAATGGGAGAGAGAACAGTCTTTTCAACAAATATTGCTGGAACTGGATATCCTCATTCAAAAGAATGCAGTTGAACACTTCCTTATACTATGCACAAAAATTAACTCAAAATGGATCATAGACATGAATGTAAGAGCTAAAACTATAAAGCTCTTTAAAAAATAGGGATAAATCTTCATAACCTTGGGTTAGGCAAAGTCTTCTTGGATAGGACACTAAGAGCACAAGCAACAACAACAAAAGTGAAGAAACTGAGTTTCATCAAAATTTAAAAATGTGGCGCTGCAAACAATATCACCAAGAAAGTAAAAAGACAACTCACAGAATGAAAGAAAATATTTGCAAACCATATATCTGATAAAGAACTTGTATCTAAAACATATCAAAGATTCTTAAGCTCAATAATAAAAAGAGAAATAAATTTTTTAAATGGGCAAAAGATCTGAATAGACATTTCTCCAAAGAAGAAATACAGAGGGCCAATAAGCGCATAAAAAGATGCTCAACATCATTAACCATTAGGGGAATGTATACCAAAACCACAAGGTGATAGCACTTCAAATTCACTAAGATCACTCTTATCAAAATTAGAGATACTAAGAAGTGTTGCCAAGGATATGGAGAGATTGAAAGCCTCATATACTGCTGGTGGGAATGTAAAATGGTGCAGCTGCTTTGGAAAACAGTTCGGCAGTTCCTGAAAATGTGAAACATATAGTTATCATAGGACCCAGCAATTCCACTGCTAGGTATATACTCAAGAGAAATGAAAACATATGTTCACACAAAAACTTGTATGCAAATGTTCATAGCAGCATTATTCATAACAGCCAAAAAGTAGAAACAACCCACACGTTCATCAAGTGATGGATGGATCAGTAAAACATGGTATATCTGTAGAATGAAATATTATTCCGCTATAAAAGGAATGAAGCCCTGATATATGCTATAACATGGAGAACTCTAAAAACCTTATTCTAAGTGAAAGAAGCTAGTCATGAAAGACTGTATGTTATATGATTTTATTAATATGAAATGATCAGAATAGGCAAATCTCTGTATAAAGAAAGAAGATTAGTGGTTGCCTAGGGCTGGGGGGCTGAGGGGAAATAAGGAGTGACTGCTAACGTGTATTAGTTTTGTTTTTGTTTTACAATGCTAAAAATATTTTAAAATTGATTGCGGTGATGGTTGATCAACTCTAAGAACATACTGAACAAACAGAGAGACAGAAAGTTCCCCAGGTAATTCCAGTCTCTACAATACTATATATGTATGGTATCTTTTTTTTAAAAGATTTTATTTATTTATTTGAGAGAGAGAGAATGAGAGACAGAGAGCACGAGAGGGAAGAGGGTCAGAGGGAGAAGCAGACGCCCTGCCGAGCAGGGAGCCCGATGCGGGACTCGATCCCGGGACTCCAGGATCATGACCTGAGCTGAAGGCAGCCGCTTAACCAACTGAGCCACCCAGGCGCCCTATATGTATGGTATCTTACCTTCTAGATTCCTTAGGAGGAAATATGGCATCTTCTAAATCTTTCTCTCCTCCCATATTCTTAAGGAATAAGAGACACAGAGCAGGAGGGTGATAGCTCTTAAATGACCCCCCCTTTCTTTTTTAAGTAAAGGAGTGTTCTTGGTGAATGTTTTTTATTTTAATCAAAATTGCAAGAGTCAGGCTGCCACTTGGCAGCATCGGTCATCTTGACTATCTTGATTCACTTGAGCTCCCCAAGCAATTAATTCAACTGTAGCCCAGAGAGAGAGGGTAGGTAGACAGTGCAAACCAAACTGACCGGTTCTGCCATCCAAAGTACTGTTGTTCTGTCCTCTACCAGTGGATGTGGCCTCTGGTCCTTAGGAACCATGCTTTTGACAGTTCCCCAGGATAGGGCTCTGGTTTGACTGACTTTGTTTACTAAATAAATTAATTCCTACTTCTGGAGTAGCTTCAATTTTGAAACAGAAAGCCATCTATTGAGAGTCACTGATACACAGGATTTTATTGTTTGATATTAAACAATTAAGAGTTATTGTTTTTTTCCCCCTACAAGTACACTATACAGGAAAATAAATATAATCTAGAATACAGCCACTAGGAGTAGAGAGAGAGGGAGATTCTATATCCACACTGTGCCTTAAAGGGATAGTTTTACTTTAATAAATGCAAAGTGCGGACTGTATTTCTTTCATGGAAATAAAGCCCTCTTGCCAAAATGTATAGAAAAGACAGAATCTGATGAACATTTCTTGAGCTTGATTATATAAACACATTAAAAAAAAAAAAAACCCTAAGAGTTCAGTCTTTTGATCTAGCAATGATCTAGACTTCAATAATTTGAAATAACTTTGCATTTGCTACTTTCAACAAAGTCTGAAAGTACACAAAAGAAGAAAATGATGAAGCAAGTCTAGATGCTTACAAATAAAGGGAAATTCTGTCATTTGTTCAACCTAGCATATAAAAAAATAGCAAAATATGAAACCATAGTTGTCTGAGTAGAGGACAAAGATCTGATTTAGAATGAGGCAGAAGTTTTCCCTTCTATAGCTCTAGTGAGTACAGTTGCACTCAGAAAAACAAAATGAATAAAGGCAATGCCAAGATGAGAAACAAAAGAAAACTTCAAATCCTCAGGTAATTTTTAAATGAGTTTACAGTTGGAAGATTCACTAATAATCTTCAAAATAGATTATCTGAGTCCTAATTTAGAAGCCCTATTTCATGAGAAAAGATTATAATAGGAAAATCTCAAAACTAAGTATTGATTATACAAGGTAAACATGACAAGGCTAGATGATAAGAAATTAACAGACACATTTTGCTTTCCCTCTCACTGGAGACGTGGACCAGGTACACGCTGCCGACTAGAATATAATTTGCTCAAGTGAGGGCAGTGGAAAATGCTATTAGGTTATCTAGGTTGAGGAGCTGCCCTGGGGCAGACTATGTCACAGTGTCCCATCCCTCTTCTTTATCATCCCAACTTTCACCAGAATATAATCCAGAACCTTGGAAAATAAATACAATCACAAATACTAACTTTTTGTTGAAACACCAAGCAAAGTATCAAACCTTAACTTAATACATGGAACATATCAGAACTTTTCCATGTTTGCCAAGTACAGGGGGATAAACTATTTTCAGCTGGGAGTTCATCTTCAGAAAACACTCATATGCATTTCTATGCAATATAATTATGGAGTATATTACATATGAAACTACTTCTTAATTTTCGTTCGGGGATATTTTACAGATCAGGATTTAAGGATCATTCCCCTTTTGCCTCTGGTGCAGGCTTTCAAGTTTTCGAAAATATAAATAAAAAGCACAAAGTGACAGAAAGAGCTGCAAAGATGTATAAATACACCCCTGTGACTCCCATAATAAGAGCTTTTGGGGGGAAAAAATGGTCAGACAAGTATTCATCTTCCCCAGATTGCAAGCTCAAGACCCTGACTGGTACACAATTATGGAACAAAGGGGAGGTGAAGGGTGACACACAACAGAAAGGGCAGCAGAAAGGAAGACCAAAGCTCAGCAGGCTAGAACCTGCTCGGTCTAGCTGGACCGGCTTCCCCCCAGCACCTTTCTGGTACCAGTTCGGGGCTTTGCCTCTCACGCGACCCACATCCTCTTCTCCGAGAAATGAATCTCCCTTTAAGGAAAGCCAAGCCAGCATCCAGAGGTAACGTGCAGAACCGTAAATGAAAAATGTCCACGTCTAGCAAGCAAGCAGACGAGCAAAGGGAAAACCAGCTGTCAGTTTTGGAGGCTCCGAGCTCTAACGGGGTTTCAGGTTACTCTTTCGCTCTGTCTTTCTCACCGTGTCTCCCTCAATAATATCAGCTTTCTAATCAACTCAAATCTCAAATACCTTCTCCATCTGTCCTTGTGAAATAAATGCTGATGAAACAGAAAAAAAGAGTGTGATACTCACAACAATGAAGAATTCCTACACATGCCGTTCCATTTTCTTGCTTTAAAAAGATGGAAGGTTAATTTAAAAAGCCTTGCAGAATTAGAAAAATAAGGGGGAGGGGGATTCCACCCACACAATCCTCCAGCCCACCGCAAAGAAGCCCAAAGGCTTGCTGACGTCACAGATTCATGAATGGATGTAAATTGGGCCGGTTTAGGATTCCGCACAGACTTCGCTGTGGTGTGTGCCATGAAAAAGAAAGGGAGGGTCCAGAGCAGGCCGGACCAATAGGCTTCAGGCACTCATGGCCTGCCTTCTTTTAGGAGGAATCTGGTCACAGAATAAACAGAGCCCGCCAATCAGGCGTCTGCCACTGCCTTAAGACAGACTGGCAGCTAAAGGGGGTGCGGGAAGGCGGGTGCGGGGGAAGGGAGTGTGTGTGTGTGTGTGTGTGTGTGTGTGTGTGTGTGTGTGTGTGTGTGTGTGTAGCTGTGATAGTCATGAAAACATTATTGCTATTGAATGAGGGAATCAAAATAGAATTTCAGTGGAATCGGGGCTACCAAAAATGCATATAGAAGAATCACATTCTTTTATTCATTAGAGCTATTTTAACTCTTTTCTTGCTGTCCAGCAACGTGCCTGTTCCCAAGTGATAAAAACAAATCAAAGTCAGGGAAACAGTTCCTAAAACTAGTGACCAGTAAAAAATGTATGCCCTGCTCACCAAGGCTTGTAAAAGCAAAACAGTAGGGAAATATTAATTGGAATAACCTAGTGATTAAGAAATATAAATATATAAGACAATATTGCATAAATGTAATTATTTTTTAGAACAATATCATCTTGCTCACCTTTGTGATGCATCAAAGTGGGTGTGGAAGAGCAATGCTGCATTTAAATAAGGTAGGTAAATATTTCCTCATTAAGACACAGCTCCAAAAGAGCTCTTAACGATTCTTAGAGCAAATTTTGGTTTTAATAAGATGCCTTACTATACACAGCAGAAACAGCTATATTAAATTCACCCAAGTGCTCATGACATTTAAAGTTTTTTTTCTAATTTAGGGGCGCCTGGATGGCTCAGTCGTTAAGCGTCTGCCTTCGGCTCAGGTCATGATCCCAGGGTCCTGGGATCAAGCCCCGCATTGGGCTCCCTGCTCAATGGGAAGCCTGCTTCTCCCTCTCCCACTCCCCCTTCTCATGTTCCCTCTCTGGCTGTGTCTCTCTCTGTCAAATAAATAAGTAAAATCTTTAAGTTTTTTTCTAATTTAAATAGTTTTACCAGCTTTATTGAGATATAATTGATATACAAAGAAATGCACATATGTAATGTGTACAACTGGATGAGCTTAGAGTTATGCAAACACCCTCAACACCATCGCCACAGTCAAGACAGTAGACATATCAGAGGGTTTTCTTGTGTTCCTTTGCAGGTTTTTTGGTTTGTTTTTATGGTAGGAATACTTCATGTGAGATCTACTCTCTTAGCAAATTTTGAAGTGCACAATATAAGACCACATTGTTAACTATAGGCACAATACTGTGGAGCAGATCTCTAGAACTTTAGTAAAACTGAAACTTTACACCCACTGAGTAACAACTCCTATTTCCCTCCCCCCACCCCCATCTCTGGCAACCACTATTGTATTCTCTGCTTCTACGAGTTTGACTCTTGTAGATATCTCATAGAAGCAGAATCATACAGTATTTGTCTTTTTGTGACTGGCTTGTTTCACTTGGCATAATGTCCTTCAGGCTCATCCATGTTGTCACAAATGACAGAATTTCCTTTTTTTAAGGCTGAATATATTCCATTGTATGTATACACCACATTTTCTTTATCTGTTCATCTGCCGATGGGCACTTGGGTTGTTTCTATATGTTGGCTATTCAGTGCTGCAATGAACATGGAAGTGCAGGTATCTCTCTTGGAGATCCTGATTTCAGTTCTTCTGGGCATATATCCAGAAGTGCAGTTGCTGAATCATATGGTAGTTCTATTTTTAATTTTATGAGGAATCTCCATACTGTTTTCCATAGTTGCTGCACCATTTTACATTCCCACCAGTGCTGTACAAGGGTTCTAATTTCTCCAAACCTTGCCAACATATGTTATTCTTTTCTAAATAGTAGCCATCCTAAGAGATGTGAGATGATACCTCACTGAGGTTTTGCTTTGCATTTCTCTGATAATTAATGATGTTGGGCACCCTTTCATATGCCTATTGGTCATATGTATGTCTTCTTTGAAGAAACGTCTATTCAAGTCCTTTGCCCATTCTTCACATTGGTTTTGGCAATAATTTCTAGAAATGACACCAAAAGCACAGGCAACAAAAGCAAAAATAGACAAGTGGGACTACATCAAACTAAAAAGCTTTAAACAACAAAATGAAAAGACAACCTACAGGAGAAAACATTTGTAAAACACATATCTGATAAAAGGTTAATTTCCAAAATATATAAGGAACTCATAAAACATGATAGCAAAATAAAGAAATCATGACGTTTCTTTACTCTTTATTTTAAAAATGTTAGAAGTTATACAGAAGTGGAGATTAATATAATTCACTGCCCCTATACCCCATCATTTCACTTCATGATTACCAATACTTTACTAAAACTGATCACAACTTTCTTGAACTTGGGAAATCCCTGAAGCTAGAACAACAGTGGTTAATATAAGGCCTCCATTATGAGGTGTCCAGTGACCAAGAACATTCTGAATAGAGATCTTACTCTATCTCTTAATCAGACTATTTGTACAGCTGAGAGGAGAGTGGCTGCCAGTCTCTGTGTGGCTATGGAGGGTTCAAGCCTGACACTAGGGACTATTGCACCCTGCTTAGCTCATTTGGAAAAACAAAATGCAACAAAACTCTCCAGGACTATTTTACACACAGCAAAGATGTTCAAGGCACTGTTCTATATACTCAAACAATAGAATATCATTGGCAAATAACATATTCAACAACTTTCTCTAAAGGAGCTTACTGTGGAATATCACTTTGGAAAAGATAGACTGAAGTTTACCCCTGTAAGATAGGAGTGCTCAAGACAAATGCAGGACTGGTACATTCCTAGTAAGCCTAGTGCACCACATTGGCTTATATGTCCATGTGCCAAGATTATTTTAGAACCCATAAATGGAAAGGAATTAAGAACATACATCTCTGTCCCTTTTTTTTTTTTTAAGATTTTATTTATTTATTTGGGAGAGAAAGAATGAGACAGAGAGAGCATGAGATGGGGGAGGGTCAGAAGGAGAAGCAGACTCCCTGCCGAGCGGGGTGTCCGATGAGGGACTCGATCCCAGGACTCCAGGATCATGACCTGAGCCGAAGGCAGTCGCTTAACCGACTGAGCCACCCAGGCACCCATCTCTGTCCCTTTTAACAGCAATCAAAACTAACCAGGATACACTAAAAGAATCAGATTTATTAGAAAATAACAGTTTTTTCCCCCAAAACTTAGTCCGTATTATTTTGTATTATTAGTATCTATTAGTTAGTCTGTATTATTATTTTGGAAAATAATACAGACTAACTAGTAGAAGGAGGCAACCTTTTTGTGGAACATGTCAACAAGATGGCCAACTCTGTTATGGAAGCCAACGATTTGCTGTAAGATTTGACAGCAACATCATTACTCAACAAGTCTACCAGGGATCAGGGTGTCTCTGGCGCAATTCAAAAAAACAGTCTGTAAACTGTTTTAAACACAGCTACCTAAGAAGTTGGCTCAATATGTAATCTGGCAAATAAAAACGAGCTGGCTCTATGGACTTGCCATTTTAGTAAGATGAACTTGATCTGGGTTAGCGTGCTTTTCTGTACCACAGAAATATTAACAGGGCCAACAACAATTTCTCCTGTTGAATATCATGGGAAATCATTGGGAAGATAAGTTATCTCCCCCAAATTACAGAAACTGTAGAGGTCATTCTTGGAGGAAGCCATTGTTGTTTTTGGAACAGAAAGAAGGTAGGGAGAGGGGACCATGAGAAATGTACATTCTAGAGCGGCACTGCCTAAGAACTTCCTGCAGTGATGGAAATGTTCTATAATTTGCACTAATACAGTAGCCACATGTGACTGTTTAGCATTTAAAATGTGGCTAATGTGCAAGATGTCCATCAACAGATGAAGAAGATGTGGATACAATGGAATATTATGCAGCCATCAAAAAACACGAAATCTTGCCATTTGCAATGACATGGATGGAACTAGAGGCTATTATGCTAAGCAAAATAAGTCAATCCGAGAAAGACAAGTATCATATGATCTCACTGATATGAGGAATTCTTAATCTCAGGAAACAAACTGAGGGTTGCTGGAGTGGTGGGGGGTGGGAGGGATGGGGTGGCTGGGTGACGGACATTGGGGAGGGTATGTGTTATGGTGAGCGCTGTGAATTGTGTAAGACTAATGAATCACAGACCTGTACCTCTGAAACAAATAATACATTATATGTTTAAAAAAAAAAAGATAGTAGGAAGGGAAAAATGAAGGGGGCGGAAATCAGAGGGGGAGATGAACCATGAGACTACAGACTCTGAGAAACAAACTGAGGGTTTTGGAGGGGAGAGTGGTGGGGAGATGAGTTAGCCTGGTGATGGGTATTAAAGAGGGCACGTATGGAATGGAGCACTGGGTGTTATACACAAACAATGAATCATGGAACACTACATCAAAAACTAATGATGTAATGTATGGTGACTAACAAAACATAATAAAATAAAATTAAAAAAATAATAAAATAACATGCAGCTAATGTGATTGAGGATCTGAATTTTAAATTATATTTTAGTTCATTTAAATTTTTATTTTATTTTTATTATGTTCAGTTAGCCACCATATAGTACATCTAAATTTTAAAATCCATAGTCACATGTGGCTGGCTGGTGGCTACTGTATGGGACACGGCAACTCTAGAGATATCAAGCCAAGTCCCATCATTACAAGTAATTCTTTATTTCAACATGTGGGCATGCTAAGTGTGGAGGACTACAAAGCCAGTATCTAGGTGAGTAAGCACTTTTAAGAGTCAAATGAACCTCTTCAAATCTCAGTAATGACTGGAAGATAACTCTGGTCTTATTTCTCAAGAAGATATTCAGATTTCATTATTAGAAGACAACCTAAGAACAGAAGGTAAGGTACAATTATTTTGCTATAAAAATATGAGTTATTCTAGGATTGTTTTTTAAGAAAAATTGTTTTTTTAAAGGAAAATGACTCATTAAACCAGAATCTAAGAGAAGTT